ATTCACTTGACATTCAAACCATGTATTAATAACACATTAAGTGATCATTTGAATGCATTTCATTCATTTGCTCGCAATTATGGCCACAATATTAAGTCAATTGAATTAACGCTCAATAATTGTATCACTGATAACATCATTGAAGCACTTATTACAGGACTTTTCGATGGTTTATCACAAATGTCGGCATTGATTGCTCTTAAACTAAATGGCAGTAAAGCTGTGTATTTATCGCCATTATTATCACAATTTGGTCCCAATTGTCCACAACTCAAGAGTCTGTATTGTGTTGTAAACTCAACACAAGTCTTGCGACTAATAAATGGAAACTTTAAACAATTAAAGCGTTTGGAAATTAGTGGCGATTTTTACGGCCAAACGATAATAAAGAGCCGTTTATTGGATTCATTGAAACGATTAACACATTTGAGTCTTAATTTCTACTCTGAAAGTCATCTCATAACCGATCACTTCTTCATTATTATTGGCGATCATTTGCCACAACTTCTTCACCTAAAGATCAATCGAGTGATGATAATCGACAACGTGTTGTATGCGGTGTCGAGACTGACACAAATCCGTTTCATTCATCTCATGGGCGCTAATAATGCCACAGAAGAGGCCGTCAATTATCTCAACAATAATTTTCCTAAAATTAAACTAAAGATTGAAAATTCTGTCCTTTAATACGACTATCAATGGTTAGGATTGAGTGCAATCTTATCTCTATATTTATTAATATTTATGAATATTATTAATGTTTTAATGAATATTTTTTTTAACAAATAATCATCTTTTTTATTTCGATTAACATTTTAACACATTCTTTGGCAGAAATGTTTGTCAAATATAATTGTATACATTTATGAGTAAATTAGTATTTTTGATAAAACGTTATACGGTATTTTATTGTTTCACGACTACATATATATTAAACTAATGTTGAATAAAAGAATGTTTGTGTCACTTATATTAAACTTGATCACTATTCGAAATCAATTTTATTAAACTTATTAAACAATTTTTGGACGTTTATCCAGATTAATGGATAAAATGATTAATTTCTAATATGTTCTCCATATTTTTATTCATTTTAATTTATTACCATAATACAAGCTTTCTATTAATATAAGAATTATCATAATTTCTTGAGTAATACTTATTTATAAATAAATAATATTTGTCTTAAAATTTTATTATTTTAAACAAATGATTATGAGTTACATTTAAATGACTGAATATAATTAGTTTATAATAAATACTAAACTAAATATCGTATCGAAAGTCAATAATGAAAAGGTTTCGTATCGAAAGGATTCGTTAAATTAGATCCAAAGAGTTAGTCGTTATAATCATTGGTCGGGTTTAGTGTACGGGAAGTAATATATGAGCTGAGACTGAGTGAAGTGCCAACGACTCGAACACAACTCTATTATCTCTAAATACAATTTCTGGCAATTTATTTGATGAGACGATTGGCTTAGAGATAGAAATGTGTCCCGAATTGTGGCCATCAATGTCTTCATTCTTGAGGCATTGTCTTCTTCCAGGTATTTGCCTGTATTTATACTGACATTAATTGCAAATAACTAAAAATATTAATGAAAAACATGCGAAAGACTGACCACAAGACCGCAAAGAGGAGTGAAGGCACTCGATCTCTGTTGGCGTTGAGTTGGCGTTCATTAAAATGGCCTGAAATGAGTCGTAAAGCAAAACCGAAAACTGTTTCTCCTGTTTGGCCATCACTGGAGGGGATGTTTGGCTATCATTGGATCTATTTGTATGAAAATCGTATTCGTTGTCGAAGTGTCTTGTGTCGTTAAAACATTGTCTCGTATTCTGCGGTTCTGTCCGTGTCTTCAGATTCATGTATAGCTCGCATATGAAGGACACGTATGCGACCCAACGGCGGGCGCCGCCAGAAGTGAGCCGAAGTCTATCCCTTTCGTTAAACCATTCGCGCAGACAATTGATTAGAGACTCAATGAACAGATGTCTGTGTGTTTCGCTCTGTTTCTCATTAATTGTCAGACAAATGATGGCTAAAGAGCGAGAATTGGATGAATTATCGATGGCTTTATTGCAGATAATGCGCACGATTTGCATCAATTGATTGGTTGTCATTGAGTTTGTCTTCTCAATAGACCGACGAATTAATGTCATGTTTTCCCACGAAATGTCTTCAATTGACATCAAATGTCCGATTGATTCGCAATTACTGTCCGTTACGTTAGCGCCAAATGATTTTGATCTCTTCAGAGCACTCTTTAATGGATCCGAAACTAAAGTAATAAAATTGTTAATTATTTTTATGACCATTTGATTAACTGTTTTATAGTATAACTTGAATATTAAATAAATATCAAACCAATTGCTTTATTCCCGAAGATTCCCGACTTATTCAGCGACTCGTTGTTTGACTGAGAAGTGGAAGTCGTGGACGAAGAGTGAGATTCTGGAGATTCAGTCCGATTGGTGGCGATTCTGGCGGACGGCGGACGGTATATGGGCTGAGAAGGCTTCACATACTTGTAGACAGACTTCAAACAAATTACTGTTAATTAATATTTAGTAAAACATAGGAATTGAGTTCAAAACCTGTTGTGGTTTTTGTTTTATCGGTTGATTTAAAGACATATTCACGGATGACATCCGATGTCTTTAACTGAAATAATGGTCACATTTTCTAATGAATGGATTGATTAAAAATGCTATAATTGTAATGATATGTATGGCATCGGTTGAGACAATGTTTTAAAATAAATGATTTTAAATAAAACATCGCAAACACTACCACTCCCTTCAAGAGTCTTAAAATAGCAACAAATTGAGCGTTCATTTCATTAAATGCAATACTTTTGCACTTTAAATGAAATGATTTATTTTTGTTTTATTTTAAGTGTTTGTTTGGGTTTTGGCTAATCATAAATAATTTGAATAAAACAACACGATTTGGTCCACACTTTGAAATGAATGATTTATTTATTGCAATCAATATTATTATAACACAAAACAAGTTAAAGTTAAAACTTAATATTAAAATAAGCAAAAAATAGTGTAAAAATCTGTAAAATTCATAATTACATCAATGTTTACAATCAATCATTAAAATACAGATATTTACAAAATTCAAACTTATTTGGCATCGATTCAAATGGACAACAAATGAGATGTCAATCAAGAAAATAAGCTTAAATTAATTCATATAAAAATAGTGTTAGTTATGAAATAGTTATAAACACATTCACTGCAAGACTTAGAAATAAGAGGTATATTAAGTCCTAAATAAAAATGACTTAATTTTTATGTCTAAGGAATAAACCGGAGAATAAATGCAACAAAAATATATTGTCAACATTTTCGAGAATATCACTCATCGCTTATATTAAGTAAAAATTGGGAATAAATTAATAATAACTTAAAAGTGATGTTTGAATTCACAGTCAGTGTAAAAGAGATACAATGGAAACAAATGTTACAAAAAGCATAACAATGACAGATATTTCACTAGATTTATAACAACTATTCAAAACTAATGTCTGACACTCTTTGACGGGTTCTTTATATGTGTTTAAAATAGTTGGGTATTGAATGAGATCATCGATTTCGTCCATTCCGGCCGCGCCGTCGACTTTACGCCAAAAACACTGAGCCTTTTGCGGCGCGAATCTAATCAACTGTTGGGAAGCGCTCATCACATTCTGGTCCCAAAAACTCTTGTTCTGTACATATTCTGAGAGCCTTTCATTGGCGTAATTGGATGGCATCACTATTAATGGATTCATGTCGTTGTCATCAATGCTGTCATACAAAATGGTAAATTCAATTCAAACAAATGTGTTTATTGTTAAATAAAACAATTGAATACCTGTGCACTTCTGCCACATCTGAAAGTGTCATAACTGTTTGCGGAGTTAAACCACTCAAACAATTTCGGGTTAATTTCATTCTCGGATAGTATATAATGAATACTAAACACATCTCCTCTTTAGTCGATAGTCCGCCCTTTAAAATGGAGTAAATTAATTAAAATTCTGGTAAAATTAAAATGTGTGTAAATCTATATACAAATAACGGGATGTCTCTGTTTTGTGTATTATAAGTACACTCGACAACGATGTGGTCGTCGCGAAGAATACGGCACTGATCTGGAGATCGTTGAAAGTCTTGAAAATTAAAGTCATAATTGTTTTCTTCGGCGATTGGCTCTAATTCTGTTCCGTTTCTGAAATGCCGGACAAGTATTTTGCGGACTAATGATAGAAAAACAGCAAAATATTTGTAAATAACAGTAATTTAAATGATTTAATTCACACATTAATACCGTGTTTATGTCCGTGAGGTAAACTGGCGATCACATGAAGTCCATCATCTGGAATCTTGCTCCTGAAGCAAGTCGGGTGACAGTGACCGGCAATTGTCACCGACTCTTGTTTAGGAGGAATGAAGAGCCGATAGTCGGCCACTGATCCCATGGTTGCGGTGTCGGCGTCGTATTGACGCACTTTTCGAGTGTATAAGAGTCGGAGACCCGAAGAATCGCGTACACCACCAATCAGTTCCGGATTGTCGTAATGAATCTCAAACAAGAAGTAAGTGGTCTCGTCGTCCTCAGCGATAGGCATTCCCACCTTTTCTGGCAAATTGAAGGCATCGCCGCCCGTCGCCCACACCTGTCCTCACATTTGCGGATAACATATCAATTAAACACTAGTTTCGTGAAAATGTGTATCTTTTCAGACCATATAAACTGATTGGCAGTGAATGAAATCGTAGGGCATGTTTGCAAAGTCCACACAATTGGCGCCGCTATGGGAGGCGTACTGATCCATGTGTGACGAGTTCGGGTGAAGACATCGGTACAGAACCATGTGGTGAACGAATGGGGCGTTTGTTTTCGGTGATATCATTGGCTCGATCTATGGTTTGACACAACATTAATTCACTTATTTTCTAATCAATAACAATATTAGCAAAAATACAAACCCGTATGACATGGACTTTGGTCTTGAAGGGCGCGATCACTATTTTGCACCAATAGGTTGTGTCCGAGTTGTTGGGTATCAACAGATTGCTGGAAGTGATGTCCCACTTCTCGATGTGTTCGGCGGCCGTATTGTCCAAACGATGGCCGGGAATACTAAGCAAATGCACATTACGTGCGCCCCTATTGTGGGCCTTGTGTTGTGGCATAGCGTTGGGTGAGGAGGGCTTGTGTTGGCTGTAGGCCCAAATGATCTTGGTCATGTCCGATGTGATGTGCAGATCCATCTCCGTATCGCACGTGTAATAGACTCGCGTGAATGTGAACCAAGTGTGCGATCCGTTGTGTCCGGACTCCAGTAAATGCCAGTCTTGGGACTCGTCTATTGTCGGCAACTCTTCCTCTTCGGCGTATCGGTCCTAACATACCATACATTCAACACATTATCACTCAATTCAATCCATAGTTTGCATTGCCATCAAAATGAGCGCATTATCACAATTAAATGCTAAGTAAAACATATGATAATTGAATGGCAACTAACGTGAAACTGTGGCCGACCATGCTCATCTATCCACCCGATGACCAGATCACTTCCGGTCATTCCTCCGTTGGGCGAAATGCCAAACCCGACCCAACCGGTGGTCTCGACCATCGCGTTGAATGTGATTCGCTGTTTGTGATCGTCAAAGAACCACTTGAGCTGATACTTGTTGTGCGGATCCAATGTTATTGAATGCATCCATTGAGACACACATACTGTCCATACGTTTGCCGTCAATATTAGTTGATATAAAGACAATTTCATCGCAAATAACACCACTTTTTGGCAACCAATCAATGAGTTAATGAATTAAACGATAATAAAGTAAAACAAACAAAAAGTAAAAACTTTTTTTCTTTAATAAGTGTTTGAAAAGTGATGTCAAATGTGAGCCATTTTTGGCACCAAAACTCGTTTCTCACACAAAACTTTCACTTCTAATCCCAATTCACTATTACTTTACTTTATATATCACTTCTTATTGTATTCCTCGCTATTAATTACCACTAAATTTGTGATAATTATACACAGATTTTCAGACAATGGGAATAATGATATCCAAATCAATGTCTATAGACTCTATACTATCGTTGATTTGACTCTAAAATTACACAATTGATAGCGAAATGTGTGTATATTTTTGTGTACACTATTGAAGGACAGAGACTTTGGTCCACAGACTGTGTGTATGTATGAAGAGAAAGAGAGAGAGAGAGAGAAGGGCTGACTCTCTCGCCAATAGTGATGTCCTCAGGCTATCAGTCAGTCGTCAGTCCAGTCAACAAACTCTTCATATAATGTTAATACTGTTCATCCGTTTTGGCGAACAATCTTTTCGCTACGAATAAAGTCTTTATCTAAACTATTAGTGTTTGCAATGCTTTTCAAATGCTATCAAAACTTATGCAATACAAGACTCTCTCTCTCTCTCTCTCTCTCTCTCTCTCCCTCTCTCTCTCTCTCTTTTAATATATTATTGTAATTATTAGAGGTCTTCTTATCAGACCGTCAGAGCACAGGCAATGACATAACAGACCTACAGGTGCTCTAAATGTAATGTTTTCTTTGGAGTGCTAGCCGTCCACAAAATGTGATCGTTTAGATCTTATATTCTTTAAGAGTTTATTTCTTATTGGTCTCAAAAAGTTGGTAAAACTTCACATACAGTATATTAAAGCATTTATACGATAGTATAAAATATTTTCAGTCTTATATAACATTGAATTTTAACATAAAAAAGCTATTCTTAATGTACTTAAAGTTAAGCATTCTTTCGCTGAAATGTTAAAAATTCAGTGCATTTTAGAAAAAAGATTTAAAAAGATTTTTTGTTGGATAAAAGTTTTTTTTCCAAATAATGTGTGACTTTTAACGTGTAATTTATTTTCTGTAATTAACTCTTTGACAGTATTTTAAAGACTGTTTGAAAATTAATGCTTAAATTACTAATTATATGTCACTTGTATTTTACAAAAACTCTACTAATATTAACAAAATGAACGAAGTTTTAGATCAATTATACAAAATCTTTTTTTGCTGACCTTTTACTCTCGTTGTGTCCGATTTCCTCAATACTAGTTATAATGAAAATAATTTTATATCAAAATAAAAGTGTTTGAAATGAACGCATCGATAGTTTTAATGGCAATTATCATGCATTTCACACGAAAATACAAAAATAAAAACACAAATTAATTGATTCAGTATTTTGTATGCTTTCAATATTGAATATCAATACCAGTTTCCGACACTACTGTAGACTTTCGCCAATTAAAGTAATTTAAACTTATTTTTTCATTTGATTTTAATTTATGAACCAAATTGAGTGAAGAGAAGTCAAATCGATTAATTCGTATGAATTAGGAAATTGTTATCATTTGATGAAAAGGTATTGATTTAAATCAAATTAGCATTGGTTTGAAAGGTGGAGAAAATCTAATAATACGGTTCAATGGGTTTGAATAGTCTATTGACGGTGTGATCGCATTTCGTTAGTTTATAAAACATATGCCGTTATATCGGATCGCTTTTTGTCAAGTTTAGCATTCAATGAGTTTAGCGATAGAAATGAAAGTTATATTTTTAGCGGTTTGTGTTCTGCAAGTGGTTTACGGATACCCGGGCTATGGCGGACCCCCTCCTAGGAATGGCGGCTATTTGTATCGAGCGGACAATTCGGGACAACAGGTGATCCCGGTCCATTTGATGAGAAATCAGCCCAAAGCGCAACCTAAACAGCAATTTTATATCGTTCCGTAAGAATATTATTTGTCCAAAATATATGAATTGCATTATATTTGATAATTGTTTATTAAACAGTTATTCACGTTTAACGAGTGCATCGGATTCCTATGATAGCCATTCACATAATGGACAATCAGATGACGGAGAATCAGATGAAGAGAACTCATATCCTCTATATTCTGGTGGTAAACAAAGTCGCTGTCCGTTTGCCAAACAATACGGACAGAGCGATGACACAGAGATGTATGACGACCAGCAGGAGTCTAACCCTCACAACCATCAAAGCCATCACAACAAACCCAGAGTCCAACGAAATCTTAACGGATATTCAATCGGTTGGTCAGAGAATTCGGACGGATCTTCCGATTAGTTTAGTATATTTAAGTCATTTCCATATTTAATTCACCCAATTATATATACAATTGTATTTCCTGTAATAATTGCAGTATTTATTTAATAATTAGTTTAACTGTTATTAATTTTATTTATATATTTAATAGTTTATAAACTAATTATGTTATTGTTATTTAATAGAATATTAATTATAAATATTTTTATATTATTTTTAATTACAAAACACATAATAATTTTATTAATTTGATTTTAATAGTTATTGCAAACTTATTAATAAATATCTATTTAAATAATTAGAAACCGTTTTCTAAAACAATAAGAGAGAGAGAGAGAGTAAATGTATCACAATAAAGAGTAAAGAGTTGAACCACAGGCACATTTGGCAGCAATACAAGTGATAAACTTAAATAAACTATTGATTCCTTGAGGTAAATGAACGATAAGGCATTTGCCACCGCACGCGGCAAACTTGACCACATCATGCCTTTCTAATTCAGTCCTGTTTTGATCTCTCGGGTCGTCAACCATTCCGACGGCAATCATAAGCCTTTGACTGACAGTCAGTTCTACTACTTTCTTGAGCGTTGGATCTTCATTACGGTTTGTAATACACGCCCAAAAACACGACACAATTTTCATACACTGTTTCCTGAGATGCGCTTTCACTATACATCCGATCATACATTTGCCGATATTTATAAACACTGTTCGCACAAATAATTCAGCGTTTAATCGATGTGTTTGCGAAGTAATGTTAAAATATGCAATTTATTAATGCTATTTGTGGTACAATTACCTGTGATATCGATTGCTTTGACTAAATCGCCTAAACTATAAAAGTTTTCGGCTTCTCTCCTGTTGACTGACTCCTTGGGCGCTGCGATCTGTTTACCGGTTTTATCAAAATAGATGCGTTCAATACCGCCCACAAACTCATTGCTGACAACTATAACAATGATTTAATGAATGAATTAGTTTTGTTTTACCGCCAATTCTTATAAATTATATTAAAATGAAATATTTGCCATTAATTATTGCCATAAGTGTAAAAATGGTTAATTGCCTGTTTGTAAACATTTTTCTTAATTCTTACTTTATTTGTATTCACATATGTTTTATATTAAATCATCAAAAATTCATTTATTTTATTAAAGTTAGGAAATCAATAAAATAATAATTAAAAGTAAACAATTGCATAATAATAATAATAACACGGTTTCTAATAATTATTTTAGTTTATTGCTATTATTTAATAAACTGATATACAGTATTTATACAATGTAGAAAATTAAAATATAATAAAAATTAATAGAATAAAGCATATTTGTTATTTATGTAGCTCCAAATTAAAATTAATTTCTAAAAACTATCATATATTTAATTCATTTGTTAGATTCAATGATTGGAACTTAAAATTTTGAAATATATAATCAAATAAATGATTAGTTTATAAATTGTTAACAAATTTTTGCCAAAGTGAAGGCTTAGGTGTTGTTGTCGTGGCTTTTCTACTGAAAAATCCGTTACAAATACAGGTATCGGTGAAACAGTAGAGCGCGTGTGAAAATGATTGCCAATCAGTGATGGGTCGGCCGACAATGCAATTGTGAGAGCATTTGAACACTTTATAGATCACTTTCATCTCGATCTTTGACACTTTGCCCGAAGACATCTGGATCTTTGTCTCCAATTCCCGTGATATTGATTTCTGACCGATAGTACAATCGTAAAGACAAGGAAACAACTTTTCACAAACTTGGTTCTTGTTTATCGTTTCGACAAAACATTTGACAACACATTTAATCATCGCTAATATTTGTGTCACTTTGTTTGGCAAACCCGTCTCATCGATCGCATAGTTCTTACTTTAATTTAAAAATTAATGCATTTTTTCAATTAATTGTTGAATATATAAATGATTTATTGAAATGGACTTACATTTCATGAACTCCATGAGAGTCTATAGTTTGTAAGCCTTAAGTATAAGAATAAATTATATGAGAATTTTTGTTTTTAATTGTATTAAATAATTTACATTTGATGAGTAAAATAAGTAAAACAATTAATACATGTTCTCTCATTCCTTTCTCTTTTTTACTTTTATGGTTAAAAAAAATAATAATAATATTAAATTATTTTAAATGTTAGAATCCATATGTTTCTCATTTAATTGTAAAACATTTAATTACGTTAATTATTAAATTGATTTCACATATAATTTCACATATATTTATCAGGAAATAACGTGATGTTTAGTATTATTAGATAACTTTAAGGGGTTATTAATTTTTTATTTTTTATTAATAAAATACTCATGGTATTTTATTAATAAATAAATCACCAGTATTATGGTTACACTAACGTTACTATAATATTTATTGAATTTGTCTTTTTTAATAATTACAAAATATAATATATTATACAAATAAATAATTTGTGATTGATAAAAGAGTAGATTCTCATGTATTGATCCCATTTAATGCTTATTACATGCATTTTCTCTATTGGTTAGCATTCAGTGAATTGAGTTTTACACAATTCATTGCTTATAAATTTAATTCAAGAATTAAATAAAACACAGAATTAAAAGACGATTTTAAAACAACGTATCCTTTATTTATCAATATTTATAAAATATTTTTATCACAAAATAAATAAATTTAAAAACATTTGCCAAAAGATCACATAAAATATCTATACATTGAATCAATAATTCGTGTCTAAAGTATCGATTGGATAGAGTCTGGCATTATTGGTATAACAGTCAGTATTGTTAGCGCCGGCAGTGGTGTAGACAATGTTGTACTGAATGGACGACATGGAAGATAATGAGCTTAGAGTGCAGACTGTGGTGTCTTCGGTGCCTTCGAGAGCATAAACGCATACGTTATCCAAGTCTTCAATTTGCAGATCAATTCTCTCGATGTGATCGCGTATTATATCCGCCAACTCTTCGGCACAGATGTGTTGTTCATCCGCTGAACCAACGAAACGGACAATTATTTATTTTGTCAACAAATGTATATAAAGTTATATTCAACGCAATCACTATTTATTACTTACTAAACGAGTTTTTATCCAATTCTTGATCGCAATCTTCAAAGTTAATGACCACTGAATTTGAATCCAAACGAACTCTTTTCGCTTTCTTCTCCACTTTATTACTCTTTCTCTCATTTATATCGCATTCAACACTATTTTCTTCGATCTCTGTTTCATTAGTTTGTGAATTGCTTTTCATTTTTCTTTTATATCGATAGTAAATCAAAACCAATGCTATTATAACTAAAGAGAAAAAAGTACTTATTAAATAATTCATACATTAATCTATACTATTATTATTGCAATAAATATATTGATACAAATATAACTCACGAGGAATGTTGAGAATACAGACAATTACTGCTGAAATGGCTATTGTGTTGAAATTGATAGCAAAATCCTGAGTATATGTATCGCAATCACTGGTATTGTTAGGACAGGAACACAATCGAGACGTTGAAGACGATCGACAGGGCGTCTCATCCTTCATACAATTGTGATCAATACAACTGTCGTACGGTTCACAACCCTTTCCATCACTTGTCTTCACTAAACCGTTCGGACATCTGTTTGATTGATACAAACGATTCAATGTACAGAAATGTATATTTCTTTTTTGAATAAAACATTTTTTATGTTCCATAGGATTAACAGTAAGATATGCTCTCTCTCTCTCTCTCTCTCTCTCTCTCTCTCTCTCTCTTAGCAAACCTTAAAGGCGTAACAAAAATATTGGATTCGCTATCAAATCATTGTGTGTCGTGAAAGCAATTTAAATAATAATACGACTATTTTGTGCTAAATCTCTGCTCATAAGAAGATTGAAACTCTCTCTCTCTCTCTCTCTCTCTCTCTTCTTGACACACATTCAGTAATACCTGCATTCATATGTCATCCAAATGTCGTGACAAATAAAAGGCAATTCACAAGTGATATGAATACAAGGGTTATTAGAGGGACAGCCGTCCACTACTTCTTGTGATTCCAAGATTAATGCACTTTCGGTCGAGTTATCCATTGGTAAGTGAATGCCGTCTATACGGATGTCATTCAAACATCCTTTAAGATAATCAAAGAAATAGTATTTAAGAGATTACTAAATGTAACGAAAAATATTATGTTATTAGACAACGCTTGAAGTGTTTTGTGACAAACTATTATTCAAAGGCATTAAATAAATTATAATTTTTAGGAATAATGAAGTTTAAGTGCTTTAATTAAATAAAACAAAGTTTTGCGTTTAATTTTCATAATTTCTCTACAATTCATTCATAATTTTAAGTAATAAAAACTAAAAATAACATTAAATATAACACAAACCTTCATCAAAATCATTAGCCACAACACCGGCGCCGATACTAATATAACTAACATCACCGCCGATGACAACATTTTTGCGTTCAATTCGTATCAATTGATGTAAACCGAAAAAGTCGTCGATTGAGGCAAACTTTCCGACCCCTCCGGCGTCCAGAGTTATGGTAGCGGTCGAGCCATACCTCCGCACTCTAACCAAATGCCATTCGCCGTCGTTTACAAAGAAATGCTTTAACTTCAGGATCTGTTCCGTCGATGATCTCAAATGATTCAAATTGAATCTGAATTGAATCCTCGCCTCTCGTATCTCAAGAATACAATATTCGCGCTTATCTTTGGTCGAGAGCCTCAGGAGATCGCCGTAAGACTCGCGACTCCTGAACAACATCTGAATATCAGTTGAATACGGATCCAAATCAAACTGAAGTGAATATCGGATAAAACTGTGCGATTGAAACATTCGAGGTTTGGTCAGTGTCTCACACTGGGAGCCCCTATAGCCCGGATCGCACACACATTTGGCCGTATTATAAGTGCCCAAACATTTGCCGTTTTGACACATTCTCGAGAAATAATTGCACATCGATTCCACTAATGAGCAAAAAAGCATCATTTATTTAATTATATTAAATATAACATCAGATAAAATATAATTGTATGGATAGATATTGACCTGAAGGGCAGCCCAACAGTGAATTCGCTGAATTGAAAACGGATCCAAAATCATAGAGCAGTTGGTTATGCTTTAGATTTCTGAGACAACCCGTGAAACCAATGCGGGAATGCCTTTGCGTCCAATTATAATACCTGTCAATGGGTTGATGAGAGACGCCTCCCAACTGAAGCGGTGCGTTAACGTTGAGCCGTCGGCCATACCATTGATTGGTGGCCACACTCTCGCATCGGGTTCTGTCCATTTTCAACGGCTCGGAGTCATATATCACAGCATCGATACAGTGGTCAGTCATTAGACGCACTGATTGTGTATCAAAAAATATTTCAATGGTATGCCATTCGCCATCATTTAGTGGTTTCGGACTTTTCACTGATAATTCTTGAGTCCCGGAACCAAAGTTATACAGAAGTCGTGGCATTCCTGACCATCAGATTTAGAATTATTTTATGGTATAATAAAGTTTTATTTATTATCATAAAAAACAAAATAACTAAAAGTATATAAAGCTTTTAAAATATCAAAAATAATTCACATTAATAAGTCTTGATTATCGGGTATTATATTTCATTTTAAATGATTTTTATCATAACTCTACCATTAATTGCATAATAATTTGTTTAAAATAATATTTTTTAATGATATTAAAAATGTAACAAAATAAAATGTAAAAGATATCGATAATAAATATCGTTAAGAAGTGATAAAAATTTCAAACCATTTTTAAGCTCAAGGGATATGAAGTCATTGATGATATTTTGTGTGTCAATCGATGGCTTATTCATTGGTCCATAATATAAGATAAGTCCGTTTGGGATCTGAGTTATGATTTCTATACTTATATGCGATTGAGAGCACTGAGGCATTGGTGGTAACCAAACCCATCCCTGGCCATTGAATGAACGGGTGGTCACTTCACAGTTGGGCCCATCACTGCCTTCCGGACACTTGCAGATAAAGTTCTTGTCGCTCGCCTTCAGACAAGTGCCGCCATTCAAGCACTGGATATCAGCGCAAGATTTAATTGCTTTCGACAATATTTGACTTGATTTACACAAACATTTGGTTTTTGTAATTAGATTTATGCCAACAAATGCACTGTAATTTGAATCAATAAACATAGCGTTTGTTTCATTCAAATAGAGCTGTGTTTCACAACTGTTTGCTTCTTCACACTCTTCGCTCTCCTCTTCCATACATTCATTGATTCCGATTTGAGTGAAGTTTAGCTGAAAAATATTCATTCAATACAAGTGAATAACGAGTTAAATATACTGAGTATAAATAATACTGTATTATAAGCACAACGATTCACATTCAGAGGCATCCAATTTGGCTCCGATTAACTCTTTTGTCATTTTGTTATTCATTTCAAAACTATTACTTAATCTTAAATGAGTTTTAAAAATTAATACCATTCGTAAGCAATGAAAATACAGTAATTGATATATTTGTGGGATTAATGTTATAAATAAATTGTAAATTTCATTTAATTAAGAGTTTGAAACTTTAGGCCCAAAATGAGATTCACTTAAATTAGAGTCGGACTTAATTTTATGGCAAAACATTAAAGCCTTAACGGAATTGATATAAAAAACGGGAAACAATTTAAGGAAACGCTTTAATAGTCTTAAGAGTCTAATCGAGAGCTGTTGTTGTGATTCAATGCAATCATTACTATAAAGAAGTATTAGTTTGGAGTCAAGGATTCAATAGAAAGACAATAAATATAAAAGAGAAGAGAAATAGAGTTAATAGTGAGAGAAATAATAGGGAGAATCGAGTCATACCTGGAGCTCATTCTCCAAGACTTGTCTGTTTTGCTCAATGACTGCATTCAAGACAAATGATGACAACAACGAGTGCTGGCGTTCGGCATAATATCTCACGTCAACGACTGGAGGTCTGTCTTGTATTTGGATTACACTAAAGATCTCCAGTTTATCGCAACGTATGAATCGCTTGAATAACTCGACGACTCTCTCGTATAGACTCCTAATCTCTTGTTTTGTTTTCCAATTCCACACCGAAATGAACTCCAGAGCCGTTATTCCGGATATTCTTATAGATCCGGAATTTAACACATTTTCACTGTTTATAGCAATCACTTCTACTCTCACTCGAGAATCAATCTCTTGTTTGTGTTTTCCATCAAATACTTTAAACTTCAGATCGTAATCACCTTTTGTTATATTTCTCATACTTATTATCCCCGTCTTTGAGTCCAATTCAAAGCTGGGAACAGATTTGTGATCGAACCAGAAGAATGACTTATCTGATAAATCCCAGTCATCCTCATCGTCCACATTAACTCTTCCCAAACGAGTCACTTGTTTTGTATCACTGTTTTTAATATAGAAAAGTGTAATCTTTTTCCAGCCGTTCCTCATGTGGTTGTCGTTTACATCTCTGATAACAACAGTCAGTGTATTGGTTGAGGTCTGAGACGGAAATCCATTGTCTTTGATAACAATTGGGAGCAGATATTGTTTCTCGACTTCTCTGTCGAAGGTCTGTCTCGAGTATACGATAGCCTTTCCGTCTCCATTGGGATCGTATTGTATTTTAAAAGAGTCTCGAATCAGATCCGAAGCCATGGGATCTAATTTGAAGGTAAAGGGCGGACCGTTTCCTTTGGACGCGTCGTCCAAATCCGTAGCAAATATTTCGCCCACTTTTTGAGGCAAAGAGTTCTCATAAATTGTGGACAAATAGTCGTCTATAAGTGTCGGCGCGTTATCGTTGACGTCGTCCACAGTTATGGTCAGCGTTGCCGACGACGACAGCGGAGGTGTGCCGTCATCTGTGGCCCAAACGACCAGTTTGTGAGTCAACTCCTTCTCCCGATCGAGACTTCTCTCCAATCGTATGATTCCATTGAAATCAATGGAGAAATGCTTTCGTTTATCCGAATCGGTGTCTATTCGGTAACCGATGGCCGAAAGGCCGCTCTGATCGGCATCTGTTGCGTGAAATTTAGTCACAATTGATCCCAATTTTGTGTCTTCACTCACATTTATCTCAATATTTGATTTCACAAATTGTGGTGAATTATCGTTAATATCTCTTAACCGGACGTGAATTACACAATAGTCTGTATGATATGTATCACTGAAATTGTCTCCTAAATCACTCACACCAACCGTTAAATTGACATTTCGTTGACTCATGTCTTCATAATCTAATGATTTGATTGCTCTCAAGGAAGCGCTCGAATCCGAATTTGCCGTCAATGAGAAGCGTTCACTGATATCACTATTTGTGATAATTTTAAAGACAAAATTATTTGTCTCAAACAAATCCAAATCAATTACAGTGACTATAAGAATAGGCATTTGTTGTATTAATTCATCACTCGTATCGTTGATGTAAATCTCATCGATCTCTGCAAACCACTCGTGTTTTGTAAACTTCGGCGGCATATCATTCACATCCGTCACAGTTATGGTGACAGTAGTGGTCGCCTAAAGGAAGTCCGAGTCATTTCTCATTTACTCATTCATTTATTTATTAATTGAATCATTTGTCTCTCTCTCTCTCTCTCTCTCTCTCTCTCTCTCTCTCTCTCTCACTCACTCTCTCGTATTGTGACATACCTTCAGTCCGTCGCCATCGCTGGCAATCACTTTGATTTTGTATTGAGAGTGCGATTCTCTGTCCAGACAACAGACATCGGTAGTGATGGCGCCGGTATGCGAGTCGATGGCAAAGATGAGCTCTCCCGAGTCGTTCACCTGATTATCTTCTATATTATACGATATCCTGGCATTTGATCCGTCAAACGGGTCGTCGACATCGATGGCGATGAGTGTAATGACGTGCCGACCAATTGTGCCGTTTTCTGTGACATTAGCCCAAAAGTGTTTGTGTGCAAAGACTGGCGGATTGTCGTTAATGTCTTTCAAATTGATGATCACATCCGCAAAACCCACTAATTGACCGCTTTTCGAGTCTTCGGCATAGACTGAGAGTTTCCATTGCGGGCGACCAAAGGGCTGATCCCTATCGAGCGGACACAACGAGTATATTTCGCCAGACGTCGAGTTTATGCCGAATTTACTTCGGCTCTGGTTTTTGACATCCACTCCATCGCCGGTGAAGGTATAGATCACATCTTTGGGCTCATATTTGTCATCACTTACTGTCACCTAATTTTACATCACTTTCTATTAGTTCTCAACATTACTTTCACATCACTACACATTACTATGTATTTACTATACATTATATTACAATATATTACTGAAGAATATTTTATAAAACCAGAAGAATATTTTATATATGTCTGTTTTGTTGAATAATACATAATGTAATAACTTATTATAAACTATGTATTGTATATGTGCTGGATGTTATCAAGTTTAAATTTAAAACTAAATATTTATTTAAAATTTCTATTTGAATATATTTAGAATAATTTGTTTATTTGGTTTAAATTTCTGAAATTTTCCAAATTTGAAATGAAAAAATCATTTAATGGAAAATATTTTCAATTCAAAGCTATAATATAGCGAATAGAGTATGAATTGATCCACAGCTGCACTCAATAGTGTTTTGGCTAAAAAAAATCATTTTCTTTCTCCCAATTCCTGACTGACTGTCTGTATATTATATTAATACTAAGCTCTGGTTATAGTAATGCAAATCTGTTCCTAATATTTACTCCACACTAATGTATGTTTCATTGTTTTCGCCAGACGTCGAGTTTATGCCGAATTTACTTCGGCTCTGGTTTTTGACATCCACTCCATCGCCGGTGAAGGTATAGATCACATCTTTGGGCTCATATTTGTCATCACTTACTGTCACCTAATTTTACATCACTTTCTATTAGTTCTCAACATTACTTTCACATCACTACACATTACTATGTATTTACTATACATTATATTACAATATATTACTGAAGAATATTTTATAAAACCTATTATATATCTGTTTTGCTGAATAATACATAATGTAATAACTTATTATAAAATAAACTATGTATTGTATATGTGCTGGATGTTATCGAGTTTAAATTTAAAACTAAATATTTATTTAAAATTTCTATTTGAATATATTTAGAATAATTTGTTTATTTGGTTTAAATTTTTGAAATTTTCTAAATTTGAAATGAAAAAATCATTTAATAGAAAATATTTTCAATTCAAAGCTATAATATAGCGAATAGAGTATGAATTGATCCACAGCTGCACTCAATAGTGTTTTGGCTTTTTTTTAGTAAAAGAAAGAGGGTTAAGGACTGACTGACAGACATATAATATAATTATGATTCGAGACCAATATCATTACGTTTAGACAAGGATTATAAATGAGGTGTGATTACATACAAAGTAACAATCCGACTATTGAGAGAGAAGACAACATAATGTAATACAGAATCCAATTTTCAGACTCAATAGCAAATGTTTTTGAACGCAAAAACTACAGCACATTATATATTTGTTGTGCTCTTTAGAGAGTATTACTAACTCTTGCGAGAAAAAAAGGAAAATACGTTTAAGTAATTGCATAACAAATACAAACTATTTTAAGTTATACTCTGTTTTCTCAATATATAAGACAAACGAAATTTTGAAAGTATAAGAGAGTTGCAGACATTGTGTGTCTTAACATTTCAGACATAAAACTAGTGATCATTAAGTACTGTCTTATTGTTTGCACACTCTTTAGGTCTCAATTAAACACTGTTTGTCTCACAAATCGATTTATTTTTTCGGTTAGGCTTTCATTTGTAAACTCTTTCACTAAATTATTCTCTCTTTTTTAGTATTACTTTTATGTGATTTCCATCACAAAAATAAAATTCATTTTTATTTTCGCATAATTTCTTATGAATTAGAATTTAAAATATGCTAAAAATATTGTTAATAATAACACATAATAGAAAAAGTTATTATCCGTTATTTATAAATATTTTATATCGATGTCATATCAAACAGTTTTATATAAAATAAACCTAACATTAGATTCCCGAAAGAAATTAATGGCTGAATGAATGATGTGTTAAATATAAAATTAATTAAATTTATAAAATGAGAGTCATATTCGCAAACAGCAAGTGGTCAGCTAATAATAAAATTCATAATTATAATAAAAAACTAAAATGAATTTCACTATTAATGAATTTCTCTAATTAAGATATAATTGACAATAATTTATTCACAATTTGTTATATTAAATTTGTGTTCAAACTTTTTGGTCTACATTTTTATCCTCATTAAAATTCTAATCACTAATTATAAACTCTCATTACAAATAGAAATCAGACTTTAATTATTACTAAAAGTATTAAATGTCATCAAATCGATAAAATTATAGACATAACGAGTAGTATTTGAAGCATTCATTCAATTAAAATGTAAAGAATTTATGATTTTGTCGATCAGATCCCTTGTGTTTTACAAAATCTATACTCTATATACCATTAATGGCATAAAATAGTATTATAACTATCGTAACGATATATAAACCATTAAATTGTAAATAAAATTTAAATTTAATTCTTGGATCTTTCGCTCAACAAATAATAAATAAAAATTTATTTTAAAGATAATTACTGTCTTATAGTGGATATGAGATATACATTACCCTAAATATACAATATTTTGAATAATAAATTTAATAAAACCCAACGGAAAAAATATCAATACATATGATATATAATATAAAAGAGTGTCTCAAAGGATCCGTCAATATCTGCATCCAATTGATTGATTGCTTCGAACGGAACATAAAGTTATTATCAATTGATGTCAAACCTGTAAAAGTCTTTTTGGTAAATATCTATCGTCTTCTTCGATGATCTCGATCTCAAAAGTGGGCCGATTTTGTTGGCTCTGGATTTGGCTCTCAATCTGGCGCTCAATGTTCTGGTCGTCACTAAAATGAAACCTCGAATGACTGCTGATATTATCGTTGGAAACGACACGATATTTATACTGAAATTAGACGAGAAATGAATAGAGAAAAACAGAAACGAAAGTTTGAGACAAAAGCGATATAAAATTCAAATGCATTGTTCAATACTATTGTGTTCTGTATTTCTGTGATAAATATATTACTGGAGACACGACTGGAGATAAACGATAATATATTCTAAAATTTTTTCAGCACAAAAAAGCCCAGAATCGGAGAAAAATTTACATTTCGTATTCAATTCAGTGTTATCTTTGCCTTTTTTCATAGTAAAATGAACTCAATTTTTTGATTGAATTTCTTTATATATATTAAATTTTGCGACAATTTATGATTTTTTATAAATATATTTGTCTCTTAAACTTAAAGGCAAAGCACATAATATAATAATGGATTGCATGTAATGTATTGCAAATCATAGAATTGTATTAAATTTCTTCACTCAAAATAGGATATGAATTCATATATTGATTTCAATGTTTGAAAAAGAGCTTAATTTAACAATTCATACGTAAAATATTGTTAAAATACATAAGTCTAGCGCTGAATCACATCCAGTATTCATAATAATCATATTTTATCTCTTTCTGAGCGCTAACCTCCGGGGAAAACGTGTCATTCAATTATTTCACAAACTATTAAATAATAAAAAATATTTTTACTTCTTTGATATACGTATCGATTGGCGGCGAAGGAGTCTGTGATCTATTGTTTGTATTGAACACAATATCACTATTTATCGGTTGTTTCCGAAGTCCATAACGTCTTCTTATGACTGCAATTAAATTTTTATTTATTAGTTTTTATGTATAATATTATCTCAAAATAATTATACTTAAAAATATTTAATTATAGTATTAAAAACACTTTGAAAATACGTATAATAAGCGCAAAAAAGTTGATGTTAACGATGCGTGTATATAAAAGATTTATTATATTAATAATTGTGTGCATATAATGTTAAATATAGTGTAAACAAATTAATCGACTGATTGATTAAATCTAGTTTAAAGCACAGAATTAAGATATAATCAAACCTTATAATAGATTTGCTCACAATTTCTTATAATTTGATTTATCGTTTCCTCTAATCATTAGTGACAATAAAATTGAAAAATACCGTTCATTAGAGGGAAAATTTTAAAGACATTTTATAAAAATATTTATAGCCATCCATTCATTCCCACGTATTGTTTACTATTATTTATTATCTCTTTAGAAATAAAATGAATTTTCGGATACAATGCGAGCTATTTATCGGAAAGGAGTTTGAAATATTGCACAAGAATTTTACGTTCATTTGTTAACAAACTTTGTTTGACTTAATTATGCAAACATTTGGTTGTAATTCAGTGTATTAATAGTGAAAACATTTCGCATTAACACACATTAATCAATGGCATAGTATTGCTGAACCGATCGCATGAATTAACAGCAAATATTTTAATAACTTTATAAATAAACAAATAAAAAGTGAGAAATTTCATTAAATTTTTTTCAATGAATGAATGAAAATGAAAATCTCTGCTCTTTTTAACAAAATAAAAACAGATTTTTTATACTTATTATTATTCTGAACACAAAAGCACTCGTTTGGAATTTCCGCATTGTTTTTATAACCTAAGCGATAGTTTAGTAACACACAGCACTTTCGTTAAATTTATTATTATGCTGATAAAACACGATTTAGAGACGAGTATTCTTCTAACTTTCAGATTCTCTTCCTTCTCTCTCTTCTCTTCTTTATTTTCTCACTTTTCTATCACTGTTTGAACAGATTTTTTCGCTACAAAATACTACTCAATGGAAATACTCTTTATAGATATTAAGGAAAAGATTTCTCTTTTGCTTCTTTAATATACACCTCAAACATACCATTTATTCTCATATTATTATTATTCTTGCATTACTTTTACATTTATTTTCTTGCAATTATATTTTTAAATATTATTTTTCTTTAAAGCAATTATAATTACAAGTGATAGGAAACGCATTTGTGTTACGGATTATAACAAAAACTTAGAAAAAACAATAAAAATATTAATAATTATTTACACAGAAAATATATAATACAAAAGCGTTTGAATTAGAGCTGAAATTCATTGAAAAAGTAAAGTAAATAAATGGCATTTGGATTGAGTGTCACTTACATTCTCGGCGTTCATTGGGAGACATTGTCGGCAAAGCGTTATTCCCATTGATATCAGCTTTTGTTTCGTTGTTTAGCTCTAAAGTCGATATATTGTAGACCAGAGTCTCATTCTTGTCTCCGATTCCGATTCGGATGTATTTTGTGACTATTTATTGGATACATATATAGATTAATATTTGATATATTATATGATGTGTTTGAACATTAAATGTTATATTTTGTTTCCCTCTCTTCTATTTTCTATCTTTTAGTCCCTATTTTCTTATGTCAATACAAAATTGGAGACAAATTCTAAGCAAAATAATGAGAGAATTAAAAATAGATATAAATGTCAATATTAGGAATGAGATTGAATGGAGAGGAAGAGATGCAGGGATGGAGAAGAAATAGAGAGAGAGAGCAGAGGAACCAAAAACATTACCCTTTTATCAATTTATTGGTTAAAATTTCTGAGGCATTCATTTGTATTAAGGAGTAAAGCATTTGCTCTACAAATGTCTATT